CGTCGTCTCGGTCGGCCGGTCAGTCGGTCGGTCGGTCTGGTCGTCAAACGTCGGTCGGTCGGCCTGATGGTCGTCGTTCGTCGTCGTCTGAATCGGTCGGTCGGTCGGTCGGTTCGGTCGTCGCTTGTCGGTCGGTGGGTCGCTCCGTCGCTCGCTGTCGTCGGTCGTCGTCGTCTCGGTCAGTCCGTCCGTCGGTCGTTTGCTCGGTCGATCGGTCGTCGGTCCTCGGTCCGTCGGTTGGTCCGCGGCCGTCGTCGGTCGTCGGTCGCGTCGGTCAATCGTCGTCGGTCGTCGTCGTTTTCGTCGTCGGTCGTCAAGCGGTCGATCCGTCGGCTTGTCGACCAGCTGATTGCCGTCGGTCCGTCTGTCGTTCGGTTGTCGCCGCGGCCGTCGGTCGGTCGGTCGGTCGGCGTCGCAAGAGACCCGCTGGTCTCCGCCCGCCCGCGCCGACCCCGGGCCCGAGCCCGACCTCGCCCGCGAAGCTCCGAAGATTCCCGACGGCATCGCGCTTGCGCTCCTTCGCAGTCGCTGGGCCCGACGCCGCGGCATTCCCTCGAGTCGCGCCGCTTGGGCCACACAGGTCACGGATGCAATGGTCATGAAGACATGACAGATGCCCCCCTGACGCCGACACGCGCACACGCGCCCTAAAACTTCACGACCAACAACGTTCACCTGACTGGCCAGTTAGGTAAATACGTTAATGCTGCAAATTCTGACCAGGTGGGGCATGGGTCAATGGCGTCGGGGGCGTGGATCGCTCGACCTGCCACATGAAACGACGGCCGCCGCGCCCCCGCCAGCCATGGCGCAGGCTGCTGGGAAGCTCGCGCCCAATGACATGCACTGCTGAAGGCCACGCCGCGGCCGCTGGAGCCCGCGCCGCTGCCAGCTAGAACCACTGTCTGAACAACTGTTCCTCGCGAAACATGGACGCCGCAGGAACCACCGCCGCTCGTAACGAGCGCGCGCTGGAACTCATCTGTCTTCATGGCGCGAGGCGCTGTCACCAGCATCCCCCGCGCATTCTGAACGCTGGAACGGGCGCCGCGGGGCGCTGGAGAGGCGGGCCCGGGGGCGGAAGTGGTCCTAGCATTGTAGTCACGCCTCGTTCCCAAACGGGGCCTGTTCGCACGCGCTGGCGCGCGTGCGTTGTCTCGCTTGGTCGATCCCGTCGTCGGTCGGTCGGTCGGCGCGGTCGTCAGTCGGTCGATCGGTCGGTGGGTCGTCGTCCGTCGTCGTCTCGGTCGGTCGGTTGGTCGGTCGGTCGGTCGGTCCCGTCGCGGGTCGTCGGTGCGTCAGTCGGTCCGCCCGTCGTCGTCGTCCGTCGTCGTCTCGGTCGGTCGGTCGGTCCGTCTGGTCGTCGCCTCGGTCGGTCGGTCCGTGGGTCGTCATTCGTCGAAGTCTCGGTCGGTTGGTCTGTCCGTCGGTCGGTTCGGTCGTCGCTCGTCGGTCGGTCGGTCGCCCCGTCGCTCGCCGTCGTCGGTCGTCGTCGTCTCAAACAGTCCGTCCGTCGGTCGGTTACTCGGTCGACCGGTCGCCGTCGGTCCTCGGTACTCGGTCCTCGGCACGTTGGTCCGTCGTGGTCACACGTCGGTCGCGTCGGTCGGTCGTCGTCTCGGTCGTCGTCGTTTTTCCGTCGTCGGTTGTCCAGCTGTCGATCCGTCGGCTTGTCGAGCAGCTGATTGTCGTCTGTCCGTCTGTTGGTCGGGTATCGTCGCGGTCGTTGGTCGGTTGGTCGGTCGGCGTTGCAAAAAGATCCGCCGCTCTCAGCCCGTCCGCGCCGACCCCGGGCCCGAGTCCGACCGCTTCCGCGAAGCTCCGAAAATTCCCGACGGCATCGCGTTTGCGCTGCTTCGCAGTCGCCGGACCCGACGCCGCGGCCCCCCAAGTCGCCCCTCTTGGACCACGCAGGCCACGGACGCAATGATGATGAAGACGCAACACATGCCCCCCTGACGCCTCCGACACGCGCACATGCGCTCTACGAGTCTCACCGACAACCATATTCACCTGACTGGCCAGTTCGGTGGATACTTCCAGAATGCAAACTCTGACCAGGCGTGGCACGGGGTAGTAGTGGCCGGGCGTGGATCGCTCGACCTGCCGCCTGAAACGACGACCGCCGCGCCCCCGCCAGCCATGTCGAAGGTTGCTGGGAAGCTCGCGCCCAATGACATTCGCCGCTGGAACCCACGCCGCGGGCGCTGGGGCCCGCGCCGCCCGCTGCTGGAACCACTGTCTGCACGACCGTTCCTCATCAAACATGGGCGCTGGAACCCGCGCCGTGCCCCGCTGGTACCACCGCCCCTCGCAAAGAGCGAGCGATGGAACGCGTCTGTCTTGCAGGCACGAAGCGCCGGGACCATTATCACCACTGCGGGGAACCCGCGCCGCGGGGCGCTTGAACCACCGCCCCGCGCAACAATTGGACGCCGAAACCCATCCGTCTTGAAAGCACGAGGCGCTGGAACCACCACCCCTCCTCAACATTGGGCGCTGGAACAGACGCCGCGAGGCGCTGGAACCGCCGCCCCCCGTGCAAATTGGGCGCTGGAGCCCATCTGTCACGAAGGCATGAGGCGCTGGAACCACTATCCCGCGCAGAAACCGGGCGCTGGAACGTCGCCACGCTCAGGTTTATTAAGTATACATGGGGCGGGGAAAAGAATAGGAAACAGGCCCGGGGGCGGGGGCGGGGCCGGCGGCGCGCGCAAAGGGGTAGAGGGAGGGGGGGGGTTCTTAGAAGGCGGTTGCCTCTCAGACGGCGCCGGCCGCCCCACTGCGAAGCCAGGGGCGCGCAGCTTCTTCGGGGCACCCCAGCAGCTTCTTAGATGCACGGAAGTGCTCTTAGAGGAACTAACAGCTTCCTAGAGGCGAGCCGCCTGCTTCTCGGAAGCACGCCAGGAACAGCTCCTGAGAAGCAACAGCGCTCAGCAAGCTTCTTCAAAGGGGCGCCCGTGCCTTCTAAGGAGCGACGGTGCTTCTAAGAAGCATTCCCCCCTCCCGCCGAGTCCTAGCGTTGAAATTACGCCTCGTTCCCAAACTGGGCCTGTTCGCGCGCGCTGGCGCGCGTGCGATGTCTCGTTTGGTCGGTCCCGACGTCGGTCGGTCGGTCGGTCGGTCGGTCGGCCCAGCCGTCGGTCGGTTGGTCGGTCGGTCCCGTCGTCGTTCATCGTCGCCTCGGTCGGTCGGTCGGTCCGTCGGTCGGTCCTGTCGCGGGTCGTCGGTGCGTCGGTCGGTCCGTCGTCGTCGTCGCTCGTCGTCGTCTCGGTCGGTCCGTCTGGTCGTCGGTCGTCGGTCGGTCGGGCCGTCGGTCGTCGTTCGTCGTCGTCTCGGTCGGTCGGTGGGTCGGTCGGTGGGTCGGTCGTCTTCTGTCGGTCGGTCGGTCCGTCGCTAGCCGTCGTCGGTCGTCGTCGTCTCGGTCAGTCCATCCGTCTGTCAGTTACTCAATCGATCGGTCGTCGTCGCTCTTCGGTCGTCGGTCCTCGGCCGGCCGCTTGGTCCGTCGTCTTCGTCGGCCGCACTGGTCGGTCGTCGTCCGGTCGACCCGTCGGCTCGTCGGGCGGCTGATTGTCTTCGGTCCGTCTGTCGGTCGGTCATCGCCGCGGTCGTCGGTCGGTCGGTCGGTCGGCGTCGCAAGAGATCCGCTGCTCTCCGCCCGCACGCGCCGACCGCGGGCCCGAGCCTGACCTCGTCCGCGAAGCTCCGAAGACTCCCGACGGCATCGCGTTTGCGTTGCTTCGCAGTCGGCGGACCCGACGCCGCAGAGGCCGCGGATGCAACGATGATGAAGACATGACATATGCCCCGCTGACGCCTCCTCGTCGACGCTTCCCGCCACCGCCGCCCCTCGCCGCAGGCGCCGGCGCCAGCCAAGAAATGGAAATCGTCGTCCCCGCCGCCGTCGCCAGCCGCCGCCGACCCAAGCGCAGCGCCAGCTCGAGGAGAGGGGAAGCAAGGGGGGGGGTTCGAAACCCCCCACATCACGAGAGGGGGGGGGGGGTCGAAACCCCCCCGTCCGTCACGGGAGAGGAGGGGGTGTGGGGGGGTTCGAACCCCCCCCTCCATCCAGGGGGGTCCGGTTCCAGTTCCAAACCCCCCCCTCCATCCAGGGGGGTGGTGGGGGGGTCCGGTTCCACCCCCCCCCCCTCCCAGCGACCACAGAACGCGTTTTTTCAAATGTAGGCAGAGGAAGCGTGTGAGAAGGGTGGAGTATGTGTAGAGTAGATGCCAGGAAAACACGTTCCAAAGCGAACGGGCATAGTTTTCACACAAGGCAAAGCAGAGAGGGAAAAAAAAACAGGGAAAAACATACATTGAAAGTGAAAACCGATAATATTAAGCAGAGAAAGACAAAGTAGATACGTGGAAAGTCAAGTCGATAGTAGAGAGGAGTCAAGCAATATGCCGCGGCGGGCGGACGTGGAGTATTTTCGGAAATCCCCCAAATCAACACATGTGTCTCTCTGGTGAAATCACGCTGCATTATTAGACACAATATTGGGCAACTTCGTTGTGCCAAACGAATCCCCCAACAGGTGACCCAGGTGACCAAGGTCACCCGCTCACGCGGGCATCGCGCCTGCTCGCAACAATATTTCGTCACAGGGTAAGCAACTTACACACCATGTAAGACACCTCAACGCAACTCTAGGCCCGCAAACGCATCATGGACCAGTACCAAATCGCCCATATGCACTCGCGCTTCGAAATACTCGATCTGCTACGACTGCGATTGATCAATACCCTACGTAGTGGGTCTGCTCGGCCTCGCTTGCACACGCACACACGTTCGGAGGAACGCAGGCACACCCTGGGTGGTAATCGCAAGCTACTACCACCCATGATCATGAGCTGTCAACACTAGTGCCAAAGATGTGAGCGTGCAGAAGATTACAATGCCATTGAGAAGGACGGGCGCTGACAAAGAGCAGGTGCTCGGAGCATGAGCATCACTGCGTGGGAAGCGTGATGACGACGAGGACGAAGAACCCACTTGTCTTCCAGTGACACGGCTGTCAAATCTGGGCAGCGAGCCACCAACTGCGACAAGTCTTATCCATGCAATAAGCTGGAGAGTACGAATCCCGCCCACGCCTTGGCCTCCCAGCAGCCACAATCGAAAAGAGGTCAGTTGGGGGTGGGCAGCTGAGGGTGGTAGGGCCCACCTCCTGTCCTCCAAACCTCCCACCTCCCCGCTCCCTTCCCCGCCCCCTCCTCCCCCTGCATTGCATCCTCCCTTCCTCCCTCCCGCCGCACTCCGGCTGCCGCAGATGCTCCCTCCTCTCTCCTCCCCACTCCACTCTCCCTCTCCCTCCCCGTCCCTCCTCCCTCGTCCTCCCTCCTTCTCCTCCCTCCTCCCTCCTCCTCCTCCCTCCTCCATCCTCCCTCCCTGCCTCCCTGCCTCCCTCTCCTCCCTACCCCCCCTTTCTCCCGCCTGCTGCTCCGTCTCTGTGGCGTGGCGACGGGCTGGGCTTCTCGAGCCCACCCCTGGCAAAGGCACGGCGAGGCTCGCCCTCTCTCCGAAGGTGACGGCGCCAGCCAAAACTCGCGGAGGGTCCTGGTCGGCTGGCCACTCTGACGGCCAGGGGCTGAACGCTCGTGAGGGGAAGGAAGGGAGGGAGAGGGAGAGAGAGAGAGAGAGAGAGAGAGAGTCCAGGGGGGGGGGGCTCATCAAGGGGAGATGCGTCGGCCCTCTCTCCGAAGGGTGACGGCGCCAGCCTCACGCGCTGAGGGTCCTAGTCGGCTGGCCACTTTAACGGCCAGGGACTGAGCGCCCGTGCGGGGAAGAGAGGGAGAAAGAGAGAGATCGGGGATGGACAGACCCCCCTTTGGTAAAACGTGGTTTAGTGAAAACGACCTGAGGCCCAAACCTGGCGGGCGCAAGCCTGGGAAATAACGGCCACGGCGCCATCTCGAGAACCGAAACCGGACAATTCACGAATCGACGTGTCACTGTTGGGGGTTCTGTCCGCCCCCGAAGAGAGAGAGAGTCCAGGGGGGTCCTCATCAAGGGGAGATGCGTCGGCCCCCGAGACGGGCTCCCATGCTCCCGCCCCGGGGGGCCCGCGACGAGGCACCCCCTCGAAAAACGCCCCTCGTCGGAGCCGACCTCGGCCCCGTGGTCGGCAATCCTGCCATGAGCTCGGGCTGGTGACCCAGAGACACAGACACCCCAGGCCTCGAGGAAATGAGGTCGATCGAGGTCGGCTGAAATCCTCGAGGTCGATCGAGGTCGATCTCGAGGACCCCCTCTGAAGCCTCCTTCGTCTCCTTCTCCTGCGGGAGTCCAGCAGACCACGACGGAAGGCCACCTACTGAATTAGCGTAGCCCCCTCGGGCCTCAGGGCTGTGTCTCCAGCAGGCTCAGCAACGTCATGGTTCGCTTGCACCTGGCGCCCGACGGAGACTGCGGCCGTGACGACCACGACGGCGACGACGGCGACGACGGCGACGACGACGACGACGACGACGACGACCACGATAGCCTCCAGAGGTCCCTGATGGTCTCCGCAGGCCCCTGGAGGCCTCCGCAGGGCTCCAGAGGCCCACAGATAGCGCAAGGCAACCCCGAGACCCGCGTTTCGCCGGTCGACGATCGCGACGACGTCGACGACAGCCTCCAGGGGTCCCCAGCGGTCCGCCGGAGTCCCACGAGGAGTCCGGAGGTACACCGAGGGCCCAAGATACGCCCGACGGCACGCGGAGCTTCGATCGACGAGGTCGGCGACGACGACGACGACGACGACGACGACGACGACGACGACGACGACGACGACGACGACGACGACGACGACGACGACGACGGCAGCGAGCGCCTTAGGCTCGGGGTGGACGCCGCTGTGTGGTCGTCCAGGCCGAGGAGGCCGCCGATCGGCACCCCAGCCTTGGAGAGGCGCCTCGTGCAGGTACAAGGGAAGAGGAGGAGGAGGAGGAGGGAGAGGAAGGAGAAGGGGGAGAAGGAAGGAAAAGGCGGCGGAAGAGGAAGGCGGAAGAGGGGGAGGAAGACGAAGGGAAAGGAGGACGAGGAGGAGCAAGGAGCAGCTGGGGCGAGATGGAGGTTGAAGAAGAGGAGGAGGAACGAGGAGGAAAAGGGGCGGAGGAGGGAGTAGGACCTAATGGTACAGCCCGCAACAGAACGGGACGCGCTCATCTGAGCCCCTTCTGCGCCCGAAGCCGCCGAAATCACGAAACTGGTGACCCCCAAACTCCAAAAGATGCTTTCAAAACAAATTATCCTCCGACTGTCCAGCGTGGTCTTGAAATGCGGAGAGCACAGGCAAGGAGGCGATAAGAGGGCGAAGCTTAGGAAGAGAGGAGGGGACGTGGGGCGTTGTCTCCTCAAAACGAGGGCCCAACATCACAGGATGATTGGGAACAATCACGCAGCACACATCAGCAAAACAAATGTACATCACACGCCGGCAAAAAAAACACACAGCACACACACACACATACACACACAGCAAGCATTGCTGGTGTGTGCTGCGTTTTGTTACGCCTGGTGATGATGATGATGATGATGATGATGATGATGATGATGATGATGATGATGATCACAACGACGACGACGACGAGGAGAATGACGACGACGATATCGACGACGATGACGACGACGACGATGCATACGACGATGACGATGTCGATGACGATGGCGACGACGGTCATGGTGAGGATGGTGATCAAGACGACGACGACAGCGACGACGACAACGACGACCACTGGGGGTCCAATTGTACCAAACAACGTCGTCATGTGCGTGCGGTTTCTGTGCCACGGCCCAAAATCCGTATGCGTTTTTTTCTTCCGGCTAACACAAAAATTACATGGACACCGCCGTGTTGCAACAAAACATACAACAGCCCAGCAAACCCGGGAATCCAACCGTTGTGTGTTGTTTGTGCTGTGCTATAAGATTTCCGTGTTTTGCCGATTGTTGATGTGTGTTTATGTTTTTTGCTGGTTGCTGATGTTTTCAATTGTTATTGCAGGATGTTATACTTTGTTGCTCGTTTTTGGTGTTGTTGTGTATTTGTTGTTTTTGGTTGCTTTGTGTTGTTTCTGGTTGTTTTTGGTGTTCGTTTGTGTTGTATTATCTCTTGGCTGTGTTTCATTAGTTGCCGGTTTCTGCGAATGCTTGGCTGTTTTTGATGCGTTTCGTTGAACATGCTTTTCCGTTCATAGATTCATATTATGTCATTGGTTTGTGATGCGGGTTTCATGTTGTGCACGCTTCCACAATTGTGTCAACTGTTCGGGATATGTTTGGCCAGTGACTGGTCCCCACCGACCACCCACCGACCACCCACCGACCAACCACCGACCACAACCGACCACTCACCGACCAACAAGAAAACAAAACAGCCGACAATATTGTAGAACCATGCATAAACATGAGCCCCGCATCAAAAATCTAGAAGACATGGGAAACACAGCTTTTCAACGAAAAACAACCAACAAACAAAAAACCTACAAATACGCACAGCCAACAAACAATACAACACAATAGCCATCAAAAACAATCACATACATCAAAACATCACAACATCCGATTATATATTTTTTTTAAAAAAAAAAATCAACATCAACAACCAATGAAACATCAAACGCCCACCCACAAGCAGCCAAACACAACAAAATCATTAGCACAGCAAAAACCAGACACAACTGTCGCATCCCCAAGTGTGCTAGGCTGCTGTAGTGTCTGTGGCAGCACGACGGTGCCCATGTAATCCCTGCGTTATCGGGGGGGGGGAGAACACACGCGGACCTTGAGCCGTCTCGCGCCATGCGCTCGAGCTACGTAGGGAACAGGGCCATCGACCACTTGCGACGGTGCCCCCTCGCGGCCAACCGCTCCCCCGCACAGGAAGTCAGTTCCTCGGGCATCCCCCATCGATAATGATCCAAAGCTCGTGGATAGTGAAGGAGCAGTCCCGTCTCTTCCCCGCTTCAAGAAGCCGCGACAAGAACCAAGCAAATGGGGCGCGCGGTGGATCTGCTTCCCGAAGAAGAAGAAGACAGCACTGCTGTGTAACTGAGGCAAGGCGCTTCACCGTCTTGCTTGACGACTCCGCTCGCCAGCACGCCCTGGGCAAGCAAGCGCGGCGTCGTGAGCCGAAAGAAACGAGAGGGCCCAAAGGCATCTTGTTTTTGCCGTGGGATCGGCATCCTCTTCCGTCTACGTCCGCTTCTCCACGAGCTTCTCGGCTGCCAACTTTTCGCCCGCGTTCCTCATCGGCCGCGAAAATCGGCCCTAGCTCTTCACCGAGTCAAATCTTCTGATTCGCCCCCCTCGGCCACGGACGCTGGCGCCCGCGGCCCAATGGAACTCCAGCGAAGATCTCTGGCTGGGGGTCCTAGAGACCTTCAGACAGCGCGGCATCTGCGATCAGCGCAGCAAAGGCCCCCCCCCTTCGCTTCCTGATCGGCCTCGCCAGCGCGTTCTTCCCCCGTTTCAACATCTCCCGCCCACTTCCCAGCATCTCTTGGGACTGCCCCCATGTGAACAATCGCCTGCATGATGCTTTCACTGGCGGGAGTGGCTACGACAATGGGACCCCCGCCACCTCCGCCTCGAGAGCTCGCCGCCCTCGCGAGCAAACACCTGCGACGCCGAAGCGGGGCTCCGCGAAGTCCTGCCCCCGGGCCCCCGTTGTCTGCCTCGCCCGCAGGAATGGCAAGCTTCAGTTCGGCCGCTGAGGACCGTTGCCCAAGGCGTCCTCGGCCGCGCCCTCGCCCTCCTCTCGGCTGAGCTTCGCATGCGAAAACGCGGACATGACGCGTCTGCGCTGCGTCCTCGGCAAACGCGGGAATTCCCCATGCGGAAACTGGGGCGTTCTCAAGAATGGCGCAGAACATATCACATAGGGGCGAGCGATACATGAAAGTCTGGCGTCTCCGAGCACGGCCCGACGCGGCCACCTGCATCCGATTGAGAAGCGCGCCCACGCCAGCTCGTTTCACTCGCGGAGGGCCACGCAATATGACACGGGATGTCTCGCGGTGCCCTCGGCCGCCTCCCGGGAAAATAAGCCGCGCGAGGTCGAGGGCGGCCACGCGCGCATCGGAGACCGAAAGTCTGACGCTTTCCGGCAGCAGAAGCGGGCAGCGCAAACGCTTCCGGCACACTCGCGCGTCAGATCTGTCAGAATCGATTCCGGGCTGCTTGGGCAGCGGGGCAGTGGTCGAATCCCTGGTGGTTTCGCGCACTGGGTGAACCGCCACTGACAGGGGTCGAAATCCAGCCATAGCGGCCGCGCGGCAGCTTCTCTAGCGTTCGAAGCGAATGCAGTCCTGAGTTCTCCAACGGCATCGCAAGCCGCGCCAAAGCCTTCTCGATGCGCGGCATCACGCACCATCACCTCGACGCTCTCCTTAACACGCGCGAATCAAATAAAAATGAAACGAGACAGCGTCATCTTTCCGACGTTGCCGTCTGGAGGCTGGGCCAGGGCGCACGGGTGAGCGCCCGGTCTGCAGCGATCGCGCCCTAAGATTATCCGCCCGGTCGTGCCGCGGCGTCGCGCGCACCCACCTCCCTCGCGCGGCCCCATCCAGGCCGGCAAATTTGAAAATATCGATCAACTTGCACCCCTTCTAAAGCCTGTATAATCAGCCACGGCGCGGCGGACGGCCCATGGCCGCGGCCCCACTGCGACCTAAAACTCGCTGGACTGCTCGCGGCCGCCCATGCGCGCAGCAGACATGCCCCCGTCGGATTGCCATCGGGCTCGCTTGCCCCCCGCGGTCGCCCCTTCGGTCCATGGGGCCACGGGCGCGCGGACTTTTTCGGCCGCCCTACAACCCTTGCGCCCCGCGCGCGAAGCTCCCGGGCGCCCTCGGAAACCGCGCGCCGCGCGCGCAGCTCAGACCATTCGACTAGCTGATTGCTCAAATTTCGGGCGCGAGGGGCGGGTCCGAAACGGGGGCGGGGCCCAGCAAGGAATCCCCGTCCCCGGTCACGGCGCCCAAAGGGTTGGCGCTCGAGCGCCCGCCTTCGGGCGCGGCGCGGCTCGCCGAAGGAATCCACCCAAGACGGCTGGCCCCGGCAGGCGGCGCCCGGACAGGGGCCGCCGAGGGCCGGCATCCGGGCCGAGGCCGCGGCGCTAGTCTGAGGCGAGCCATGGCGATAGGGCGCTGAGCAGGGGCGCCAGCAGCCACCCCGCCCTCGCGATGGCGGCGCCCCCGCCTGGAGCGCAGCGATGACGACGCCCTTCCAGGCGGCGCGGGCACCTCGGCGCCCAGGGCGTCGCAGAGCATCTTGAACTCGGGCACCCGCCCAGGAGCTGAGCTGCGCATCCAAAAATGCTCCCAGTCGGGAACCCCTGGTCGCCCTGGGCCTTTGCCCACCCGCTAGGGGGGCCGGATCTTCGACTTATCCGAAACCAAGTCCACGTCCCAGCCTCTGCCCGGCGCCCGGGCGCAGGAAACCGCGCGGCCGGGGCGCCGCCGTCGGCCGCCGCCGCAAGCTCCGTCTTTTCGCCCATAGCAGCGATGCCTGGCGAGCTGCCCCCACGGCCCTTCTTGAACTTCATGCATGTTCTGTCTTCCTTGCATTACTTGCATGTACGATCCCCCTTGGCATGCGACTGCCCCCCTGGCCCTTCTTGCCCCTTCTGTCTTCGCGGCCCCGGCGTCGGCCCGAACCCGATGGCGAGGCGGGGGGGGAGCTAGCGGAAGAAGAGAACGACCGCCGCCGGCACTTGCGACCCCAGCCGCTGCGCGTGCCCCCGCAGGCATCAGCAATCCGCCCCCAGTTTAGCCGCGGGCGCCACTCGAGCACTCTGGGGATGCCGCGCTGCCGGCCGCTGCCGCCAACGGATCGCCAGCGGCCGCGCCCCCAGCCGCGCAACTCCCGCCGGCGCCGGCTGCTGCGCCACCGGGAAGCGCGCCGGGC